CATGAATTTCTTAGCCTTTTGCAGTACAGTTAATCTATTAATTACTTTGGGAAGTAATCAGAGTGCTTAATAATGAGTATTATTTTCAGTAATTCAGAAGACAAATGTACAGTACCATTGTCAGTGGCGGAACTGCCAGGATTTTTGCTAGTTTTTATTTTATTTTATTTTATTTTATTTTATTTTATTTTATTTTATTTTATTTTATCTTGTTGCACAGAAAAGACCATGCAACATGATTTTCATGGCCCCAAGCCCCATTGTTCTTGGTGATGTTTAAATGAAGAAGAGAAAGATGGTCTCTGTCCCAAAAGAGCTTACAATCTTTAAGGAATCTGGATCTTTAGTATTATGTTAGCTTTGTCCTTTATAAGTCAGAGGCCTAAGAAAAAGTGACCAGATACTCACCAGGTCAGAGAAGAAGGTAGCCATATCCTATGAAAGAGCCGATTCCTGTTGCTTACTGGCTAGTACCTGCCAAAAGAACCAAATGCTCACATTATGCAATAGCAGTGTCAGTGAACTAGTCCCGTGTTACTGAAGTTAAATTTTACTTCAAAGGTTTTTGAGTTAATTACACATATTTCAGCTGTTGTACAAAGTTTAGAATTGTTGGATTAAATATTTCAACCAATGGTTGTGCCTAGCCCAAGTAAACAAGATGGTCTCCCTTGCGGTCAACCTGTATACTTTATGAACTCTGTCTTGTGCTAGGGGTAGAGGGAACTGAGACATTAATTTTAAACAGGATTCCAATAATCACTTAGTTTTCAATATAAAGCTGAGAATCCTAAAGACAATGTTATCTGTTGGGAATCTTAGATGGAGCTTGGGCAGTGAGCTATAGGACTTTGACATATAATAGGAAAGAGCTATTCTCTCTTCATGTGACAGCAACTGGAGCACATCGTAACTTAATCATTACTTAAAGGAATTGAAATGCTCCATCATTTTGGAACAGTCTAGAAACTTAACGATTCTACAGTGGCACACCAGGCTTGACCAGCTAAATACTTCATAGGAGCTGATTTTCCTTTGCTGGGAGAGGAAGATTTCAAAGTCATGCACAGTTTTGTCTGGCATTTCCATTAGTCAGTATATTTATTTCTGTGTCTGTGAGAAAAAAAGAGTGCTTTGAAACTGTCCTGTAACCTCCATAGCTGGAGCTTTGTCTCTTCCTTCAGATAGAAAATTCTCAGGTTTTAACTTCATTTATTTCATAGTTAAGAGGGTTTTGTATGTACTAAATTGGTAAATAGCTTAGTTATCATTTGCCATTTACACTTCAGTTAAAGAGGATGAGGATGAAGACATCACAAAGGGCTTATTGGATGCAAATACTCATATTTGCTAGGAAATACATCACATGCAAAGAATATTCACAGATTCTCTAGCTAATGTCTGAAATGTAGCATGTAGCACCACCCTGCCATTTCTCCCATTGTTATGTGATCGTCATCATGAAGTTGACTTTGTTGTTGATGTGTGCTGAGAGTTCATGGCAGTTTTTTTTTCAGATTAGGTTCTCCAGCAGATAAGCTGTTGTTAGAGCACAAATGAGACTGTCCCTCTGATGCTAAGAATTAATTTCCTTTTCTGTAAATTCATACAAAGTTGAAACAACATACTATGCATTTGGCAGAGAAAAGAAATGCCATGTTAGCTGCTAGTATCTGTCTTGCTTAGATGATACTGGGGGAAGGCACAAGCAGGCAATAATATGTAGCTACCAGCATGGGGCATTCCTTCTCAAATGAAGCCTGTTGCACATATTTTCTTCTGTTCTACTTTACCCACTTCTGCTTAGTATACATTATACATATTGTAACTTTTCACTCTTGTACTTTAATTTAGGATTCCTACTTTGGGGAGATTAAGAGTCTTCATCCTGTAATGCCCTTAATGCTTAATGTCATTTGCATTTATGTTGATTAGTTACTGTACTGCTTCTGTGGTCTTGTTACTTACGCAGTGCTGAGTGAGGCCGCCTTTATTAGATGTGCAGTTTAGTGCTAATAAGTAGTTAGCAGATATCCTACAGATATCCTTTAGTCATAATTGTGATCAGGACCGTAAATCTTACAACATCAGGTTATTTACTCGTTTATCTTGCAATTTTACAGTCACATGTGACACACATGGAAAGCTGTGCTAGGCCTTCCTTAATACAGGCCAGATCTATGGGGTTTTGTGTCTAGTGACAGCAGTTCACTGATCCAGTTAAGTGTTTCTATCTGGCTCAGTTAGAGTCAGTATTTGAGGCATACCTTACCAATCAGCTGATGTCTCTGCAAGAAAATGTACATGTAGTGCCCTGAAACTTCTGTATGACTCTTTGTCTCTGACACCTCCCATGTATACTTGAACCATACCTTTTTGCTGTTTCATGCCTTCACCAGACTGTTACCAGAATACAGCTCTTGCTCCACTGAGCACAGGCAAAAGTTGACCTGTGCTCCAAATAGCTGTTCCACTTTGTTGTCACATTAATGTTCCATAGGGCATCTGCTCGCTTCCTGGTGAGGATCTTATGGGGAGGCTTTCCTAATAACATCTAATGAATAACTGAGATCAGAGAAGTGGCTCACTAGAGAGTGACTCCAGCAATGCTACACGATGCCACTCTGCTTATGTGTCCAAAGACTTCAGGTATTGTTGTAATGGAATGAAGGATGTTTTCAGAATGACTGGTTAGGAAAAGAGAATTCTGTTTTGCAAAAAGTTGAGGTTTCCTTTCTATATTGGTAGTTGTCTCCAAAATAACTGGTAGTTTTTAATCATGTTGTATGTTTATGGAACACTACAAAATTATTGAGCTTTTCTGACTTTAATGACACTTCATGTTTCGTAGATTATCTTTTAGTGAGAAGTCTTAAGTGTCCCTCAATACTAAAGACAGGAATAACGAAAAACCCCAATCATGTAAGGGTATGCACACCAAAACCTTTTTTTCTAGTCAGCTGTCCCTAAGGAAGATCCTGATGTTGGGAAAGAACCATTTGTGGAGGCCAGAAGTTTTATTACAAGGCAATTTGACATTTTTATTGTGTTTAACATTTTCAATTAAAAATAAGCAGTAGTTAAGATGAACAACTGAATTAATATTTTGAATAACCTTTTTTGAGTTGAAGTATATCCCGGTCAAAGCAATATCAGAGATAAAACCACTTATTTTACTGTGCAAGTCTAGAGTTTGGATGTTAATTTGTATAGCATGCTCCACTGTGAGCCTTAGCTTTGTTTGTGTTTTTCCTAATAGTATTGCTTTGCTACTAGGACTGTGTGAGCCTCTCATTAATAGAGGGAAACGTGCAGAATATTAGATGCTTTCGAAAGAGAAGAAAAGAACCATGAGTTTGCATATTTTAAAAAAATTTCTGGTGAAATTAACCCCTGTGGTACTTTACAAGATCATGCTATCCCATAAGGCTCACAAACACTTTTCACCTTTAACTATGTATAGCAGGAAGAGGAATTAGGAACTTGGTATTAGATTGCCTTGAAGATCATTCACAGTTTGAAAGCCTGCAGTATGTGAACTCAAGCACAGATGTTGACTATAGATCAGTGTACCCATTATATTGCACCCATTCCTACAACAGACATCATTGGGAATGGTATATCACACTAAATCTGGAAGTTAGAAAACTTGCATATGATATGTTTTAACATAGTCTCTCACTTTGTTTCTTTGTGCACACTACATGCTTGTAAAAATTTGCAAAACTCCTATGAGAGACTGTAAATTAAACCATAAATTATTGTTGGAAATGCTTAAATGAATGCCTTAGAAGTTCCTTATGTTAGAATTACATTTCCCACTTTTACTGTAAATCTTATCTAGCTGTATGAGTCTGACAAAATATTCACGGCATAAAATATTTACACTCATCTCTACAGCTGTCAATCAGCATGTACACTTGCAGTGAACAATAACTGAAGAGTCTGTACTGATTGCACATCCCTGAAATATGAGTATATGTGATCACTTCTTAGTCATGATAGAAAAATACACCCTAGGCAGGAGCCCTGCATGTATCCAAGAGCTGGAGGACATGACTGAACTTTTGCTGACAGTCTGCTGTACATACAGCAAGGTACTGTACAGATGTCTTTAAGAGAAACTGTAAAGCAACAGGTATTCTGTTGTGGCCAGGAGTTCCAGTCTGGGGCAGTTCTTCTGGGGTAAATTGGGTCCAGGTAGCTGAAAGTCACACAAAGGAAAGTAGCAGATAAATTGCTATGGGATTCACAGCCTATGAGATATCTGTGGGAGCTCTGATCCTGGAATAGGAGCTACAGACTGGAGATGATGACGGTGATGGGCAAGATAGCACAGAGTATCTAAAATGACTCTAGATGCTTGTGTTTTTTATAGCAACTGGATTCTGTCCATGAGTCCTTTAGCTGTATTGCCACTGAAAGGCGCTATTCCTTGAGAAGAGTTGTATAGGAACTTTCTCCCCACACTTTTTCATAAACAAGTCTGAGCTTAGAATCAAATGGCTGAATTTTTTAGCAAAAAAATTAAATTTAAGTCAAAGCAAGGATGGCTGCTGACATTGAAAACTTCAGTCCAAAAGGGTTGAAGTCTGTCAGACTAAATACAACACAAGGACAACATGGAGTTATGCATGGGAACCTGGCAAGGTTTGATTACTCAGTTGAGTCTAGAGAAACAAAGAATTACTCTCCTATTCCACTAAATTTTTTCTTTAATCTGTTATGGATTGAACACTAGCCAGAGATAGCAAGCCAAGAACTTCACTATTCCCATTTCAGGGTTGTAAAAACACACTCAGAAATCATAGAGAGAGAGAGCATCACAGGTCTTCCTTTCTCTGTGGTCAGCAGAGTGTTTATAAATTCTACATGTAGTTTCAGTGTGTATTAGTTGCTCTGTTAAGAAGAGATTTACACATCAGCAAGTTAAGCCAACATGCTCATGATTCACATGAGTCTATCCCGTTAATATGAGCCATCATCCCTTTTCTAAGTTGTTCAGAGTGGAGTGCTTGAGAAAGGTGCTGGTTTGGCAAAATGGGAACCTTGTAAGTGACAGATATGAAAGCTGACAGTCCATTTGGACTGACTTGCTAGTCAGAAAATTACAAATATGTTTTTTTTCCTTCCTTTTAAGAAAGGCTCACTCTCCCTAATGGCCAGTCAAAGCCTGGTGCAGAAGGTGTAATCCTCTGTGGCATGATTTGGAGTTGTTGTAATACGCTTCTTTTTAAAGTTTAGCTTATTGAATTCTTCTGTGATTTCCACAATTGATTTCCCTTTTGTTTCTGGAAGGAACAGGTGGATAATTATCCCTGAAGTGAAAAGTACCCCCATAAAGATGAGGAAGCAGAAGTGCTCGAGTCTTTCCTGCAGGGAAGAACAAAGTGAGAAAGAGAGCAAGATGAGCATATCTCTTCTTTTGTCACTTTCTTGGCACAGTTTTTGTATTTGGGTCCCAAAGTACTTTGAATTTGGTAAGGAGTTCTTTGCATTTTGACCTTTGACAAATACTTCAGTCTGAATAAGTATCTTTGGCAAATCAGGGCCCTTCAGCTGTAAAAGTGGACTGGGGAGAGCAGGTGCCAAGGCTACTCTAAATTGACATGGCATTGTCATCTCCTGCTGCTCTTCTTCCTGCTCTCATGGCCAACTTGAGCTTAGTGTCCCTGGGGAGTGTTCCAGGGAAAGTCACTCACCACAATGAACGGGAAGGTTATTCCAATCACAAAGACGCCCAGCCAGTTGAGAACTGAACTGATCACAAAGGCAGGTGGTCTGCATGAGAGCCTAAGAATTTCAGTCCTAATGGAAACTGTGGCACCAGCTGAAAGGAAAGAAGAATAAGAATTATTACTTGTTGATGTGTTTGGTTTGGACATTTGGATTGAGTGTTACCATTACACCGTCAGCAAATAGATGCTACTGTGATGGACTGGCATTCAAAAGACTTGAGTATGTCACTGTTTTTTAGAAAAGAAAATGTTTGTGGCATCTTATAAACTGCTAGACATCAGCTTATTAAAATGGCAAATTATTCAAATACATTTATTGAGGAGATTCAAGAATTGAGCAGTTAATACTTGAGAAAGTCTGACATCTCATGAAAGAAGCTGTGTAAGGATGGAATAACAATTATTATTACTAACAAGAATTCAGCATTATACTGCTAGATCACCAATGAGTGATCTTCCCAGATTCACTTCCTGGGCATTTCAGTTCTGTTTTGAAGTCACAGGACTTTGACAGCTTTGAGTTAGGAAAATAATTCAGCCCTGTCATATGGGAAGGCAAATATTTAAAAAATGAATAGGCTTAAAAAAAAAAAAAAAGATGAGCGGATACTATATGCTAGGAAAAGAATTACTCCAAAGTAGGTCTTCTGCACTGCTGTCTATGTGGGATAAGATGTAACATTATACAACACTGAATTTAAAAGAACACTTGCTTTTCTTTTTCTTTTTTTCTCAGTATTTTTAAAAAAATCTTTTACCCATCTGCTTTTGTTCTGTTTTTGCTGTATTTTTCCAGCAAATACTTTTTGCCTTCTTCCTTTCCTCTTGTTAGCAAAAGCCAAACCTCATGGCATTAAAGTTTCTGGCCAATGATTGGACCCACAAAGTTTAAATGACTACAAGATTAGGTTAAATGAAATTACTTATGCCAAATGTTATGCAATATTATGCAGTATTTTCCCAACCATATTAATAAACTCACATGACTTGATTCCTTTATTTTTTTTGAATGAAGTCCTCACCTGGCCCAACTCCAAAGACAACTACAAACAAGATAATCAGACAAAGGCTGCAGTATGGCATCCAGAAATACCAGTCCTGGGAAAAAAAACATAATGAACTTCTGGGTGAAATCTGTTGATAACCATAGGTGAGAAATGCTGTGTGTTTTCCAACACTGTCACCTCAAGAAAAAATATACAGGGTGGGGGGAACTGGCAGAGAAATGTGAGTGCTTTTTCCTGTGGATGGAGCAGCGAGGTTTTTGTTAGGTGAGCAGAGAAGCAGGTTTCCTAGTGCAGAGCAGCTGTCAAACTTGGAAGCCTTCAATTAAAGGGAAGCCTGAATTGTACTTTTCTGCCCTGTCCTCCTTTCTCCTTGACCCCATGATGCTTCCCCTAGTTGTTAGAGATATGGGAAGGCCAAATCATATCTTTCTTCACTTTTGTTAAGTGATAGGTTCAATAACTGGTACCGAAAAGGAACTTTCCAAGATCTTAGTCAAGAAGATACAAGACTCCATGCTTTAGGAAAAAAAGATTTCTCCCTCCTATGTTTGAGATGCTTCATGAATGAAACAAAAATAGAAGTCTGCTGCCACCTTGCTTCAAGGCTAATTTTACAGTAGTGTCTGTAGAGTAGCTCTTGGATGGATACTGGTAGCCCAGGAGACTTGCTTCGGAAGAAGCTACAGCAATGACACAGTGTTACAGAGATGAACCGTCTCCAGTCTGTGAACAGATAAGTGCATTCCCAGTATCTTCTGCAGCAAAGTTAATTTTCAAATTAACTGACACAAAGAGTCTGGGTTTTTGTTGTCACTTGTTAAAAACTGCATGAATAGAAAAGGCCATTTTCCTAGGATTGTCTTTCGATCTACGCTGGCCAGTGTTTGGTGCTTGCAATCTGATGAAATCAGAGTTCAGTGCTAGTCTCCCAGTGTTTTATGTGCTCCTTGCCGAGCTCATGGGATCATGTTGAAAGGAAGGCAGGAGTACAAGAGAGTACTTGCTGAGAGGCAGTTTAATCCTATGTATAGACAAACTTGACCTTTAGGATATTGCTCTCCAAGAGGGTAAGCTGTTAACACAGAAGTTATTTTGGCACTTGTAAGCCTCCCTTTCCTTTCTCAGCAGCATGGTCCTGCCTGTGAGCAGAGGTTATCAATAGAATAGATAGAGAAATCTTCCATGAGAAGAGTTTTTTTCTTACCTGTAGGGAGATAGTCACAGTGATACCAGCTAGCAGTGAACCCATGATCCAATAGCCTCCTCTTAGGAGCACTTTCCTGCCCAGTCGCTCAATGATGGAGCTCTGAAGGACAGAAATCACACCGGTATCAGTGCCAGAAGAGCAAATTGTGACCCATTCCTGTAGTAATGTGACTTACACAGACTATAGTAGCCATGAGTTCAGAGAGTCCAACAGAGAGGGACATATAGGAGATCATTTTTTCATCAAAGCCAGCTGCCTGGAGGACTTCAAAAGTATAAAAATAAATCTGGAAAAAAAACACCCATAAAACATTAAGAGAGGAAAACAACTGATTTCTTACCCATACCTGTGTGACACTGCCCTGGATAGGAGCTGCTAACCAAGGAGCATGCAGATCAGCTTTGGAGTGAGCTAGAATTCTGCACTCTTGGTAGTATTCACTTTATTGGCAGACAAAACCACTATAAAATATAATTAATTAATTAATATGATAAAAGATAAAATGCTGGGATAAAAGAACCTCCAGCTGCTGCAATGTTATTAGGTTTGCAAAGTCCTGATTTAGGTGCTTTCAGAAAGAGCCAGGTCTATTTTCTCTTCTGGACCCCATCCAAAAACATCATTGTAGGATATTCTCAAGAAAGAAGAGCATGGGTTATGGAGTCTTGAGGGGGTGAAACAAGCAACTTTTCTTTTCAAGTATCTCTGCTACTGTTTGGAGATATGCTGAGATGATAAAGGTTCCAGTTAAACTGTGTTATTTCCTTTACAGATGTTGCTGCATTGTGATGATAGACATAGAAGAATCACGCTGGCAATTGCAAAGCTGTGGCTTCAAAATGATCCCAGAAAAGTGCTGCTGTGAGGAAGAAGGGGAGAACTGCGGAAGCTGCCAGAACAGTGAGCATGCTTGTTGATTAGCTCTAAAGTTAGAGTGAGCATACTGCCATCCCAGCATCTTAGGATGGTAAGAACCAGGGGGCAAATAGCAGCAGTTGCAGGGAGGACTAACATAAAACTACACTGCAGATTTTGCCAAGATAGGGTGGGCTCATTTGTAACAGTAGGTTCTGGAGCCTTGTAATGACTTCCAAACACGGCTGTTAAATAAGCCTAACTACTGAGGAAGGTAGCTCCAGCAAGGACCAAGACCTGGGCAGAGGGATATCACATGAAGAACCCGGCCAAGCTTTGCAGGCTGCTGCTGCCCTGTAGGAGGGCTGGCAGACAGCAAGTTGTGGCCTGAGAAGCCTGAGAAAAATGGAGGGAGCTTCTGGGAGCCATGATGTCTCCTTTAAGGTTGTCAATAAGTGTTTTGAGACTTTAAGGGGGAAATACACTCAACTGCATTGATGCCACATAGCTGAATTGTGGCGCTCAGAATAGCTATCATGTACAGCTGCCAACGGAAAGCTGGTTCTTTCATTAGCTCCAGGACACTCAAGATCTTGGTGTTTTTCATTGTTGCCTTCTCTTTCATGATGTCATCAATCTCTGCTTGGTGATGGCCTTCACCCCAAAGCTGCCTTATGGCTGTGGAGGAGAAGGAGAGCGAGACCTGCCATGTTAATTCGTCTCTGTTGGTTGTTGCCCAAGGAGTTTGTTGAGTAGGTAATGCACATGTCTGGCAGCACAGCATGCATGGGCTGTGGCTGTGGTATGAGGCAGAGATGTCCTATAGGGTGTTCCAGAGCCCTCGTCCCCTCCTGCACAGGGGCACCTGTTGTGACAGAGGGGCCTAGTGGGGTGCACAATGACTCCCTCCCTGCCCATGGGTCCACTTTTCTCCCTTCCTCCTTCTCCCAGGGCATGAGCAGGGTACATAGCCAACAACCAGAGCTAAGGGGTGCCCTGTGGAGCCTGGCAATGCAAACAGCCATTTATCATTAGACTGACAGCTCAGGTGGTGTCAGCTGAATGCGAAAGGTTTTGTAATACAGAACTATAGAGAGAAGTACTTTTATGTTCTATGTGTGGACTACAACAAAAATATACTTAGTAGGTATTCACAGTCATCTTGGAAATGAGCAGGGAGAAACTTTGTCCTGTTTAATCTCTCCATACGGGGACAGCAAGGTTCACAAACCAATTGAAAGTCAAGTGGGGAACAGAAAACTGGAGCCCTTGGTTACCTTTTTTGCAGCCTTCCTGGTCTCCTTTATGCACGAGGAGATATGGTGGGGACTCAGGGAAGAAGGGCAGAGTGACCAGCTGGACCAGTGCTGGAAGTCCACAGGAGGCCATCAGCATGGGCCACAGGGACTGGCTGCCCAGCAGCTCCCTGGCGGGGATAAAACATATGTGTAGAATGAAAGTTCATTGCATTGGTTTTGAGGAGAGAAAGGAATGGATGGAAAAGCAGAGGAAGAAAAAGACAGAGGGGATCCAGAAATTAAGTGGGTGGGAAATAAACCGTATTATACCTTTGTCCTGAAATTTGCCCTACGGCTTTTCCCAGTGACCAAAATAAAGATGAAGTAGAGTTTGCAAATCCACGTAACTTCCTAGGGGAAATTTCTCCAACGTATTGATAGTGTAGAGGAACACAAAGACCTTGAGGTGAGGAGAGAATTATGGGAGAGAAGAAAGAAGACATTCATAACTATTGGAAATAAAATTGCCTGTAAATAGTTAAGCATTACAGAATATAGCTGCCTTATGCACCGAATTGTTTCTCATACCTCCACCCACATAGAAGACTTTTTGGTACTAGGTTTTCTAACCCTTTCTACAAAAGTATTTGGTCCTCTTTGTATAGTGCAGTTTCCTGATCTTAAGAAATTTACAGTTTTCCCTTTTGGGTGTGGGTAATATCCTCATCATAGTATCTCTTATGAGCCTTAGCGTATTTTAAAGAACACAGAGTATGCAAGTGCTGAATAACTAAACACCTGTAGTAATATTTAATACGCTTGTAGTTAACCCACATAATCTCAACCTTTTCTGACATAATGCTATAGAAGAGCTGTGTATGGTAGATGCATAGCAGATTAAAATATACAGTGCTATATTCAATGTTCATTTGTACATGATTTAGGGGGAGACACAAGTATTTCTTTTCCACTGTCCAGCAATGATTTTGATGATTTCAGGCAGAGTTGATGCTTCCAGCTATATGTGAAGTACTTAATAACTCAGACATGCTGAAAACTAGTCTGGTAACAAGAGCCGTTTCCTGATATGGTAGTCACAGCCCCTTATATCTATTTTGAAAGCAACATGTTCTTCTCCTGTCTTTACGTGATGGCAAAGCAATGGGGATATACAATCTCTCTAATAAAAATCAGGTCTTTGCATGAGGCATGATACAGGTTCTAGATCATAGCAGGGTGAGTGCGTGGGTAGTTCTCAATACAACTGTATGTCAGAGAAGCAACGTACAAAATCTGGTTATTTGAAAATTAGACATTAATTTCTAATGAAGTAAGTTAAAATAGGCATCCTGTGAACATACAAACTGAATGAAAAAGCAACTTTTTGTGTAGGAGACAAATAGAAGGCATACTAATACCAGCCCAGGATGTTTTCACTGCATATGGTTTACCTGCCAGGAGTGATTTTGCTTGATTATGCCCAGCTCTTTGTACTAACCTCAAGGACTTACTGCTTTGAAACAAGTTGAATACCCTTGTAGAACATACCTGAAATATGTTCAGAGTCAAAATTAATTGGCCATGGCCTTGAACAGCCTGGTTGTCTGGAGCCTTATGAGAGTACTAGCTTTAAACCATACACCATATAATTTCCGGTACTGCTAACCAAAATTAAGATAATATTATACGTATTTTTCCATCAGAAAAAACACTTGTTTCATATTGTATCAAAACATTCCTGACAGCTCTGAATATTTATGCCCTTAGGAAGGCTGAATTTCATTTGGTACCACTGAAATTAGTAGTAATTATGCTCTTTATTTCTGGGTGTTATAGAAGATCTTCTGACAAGGGATCACTGACTTTAATATTTTATTATCTTAATGGAGGGTTATTATTTACTTTGAATAAAGATGTAAAATTTTGGGAGACCCTGCTGACCTGTGGGAGAAATCACTTACCTGCACTTATTCCACACATGAACCGTCCAATTAGAATCATCTCAAAGGACTGGGCTATTTTACTGCAGCCCATGATGGATGCTGCCACTATCATGAGCAGATTGTTGCACAGGAGACATTTCTTTCTGTAAGTGCAAGAATGTAAAAAGATTTTTTGTAAATCAGAAGGAAAATGACACTTAAGCTCCTGGCACGCAGGATGTCTTGGGTGAAATTGTCTTGCTAGTTTTGTGAAATTATACATATGTGGTCCAGGACAAAATAAGCCCTTCCAGACTGTTGGCACTGAATACTCTGGACTCACAGTGTGCTTTGGCACACAGCTAGACCTGGGAGTTTGGGAACACTTCTGGGTTTTGTAGTGGAGAAAAGTCTTAAAGCTTTTCTTCACTTGAAAAACCATCATCAAACACATTGATGTAGCACTTAGGAGCATTTCAATGCTGCTATATTTTGAGTAGCACCTCCAAGAAACCCATTCTGTCTTCATCCAGGGGGCTGCCTTTCCTCCTTGCTGAGACTAACCCAAACTGAGTAACTGCATCTGGCGTGACAGGCTGGCAGCACAGTTGATTAACCTGTGCCACAGGACAAGGGCAAGAAGCAGCAAAATCTGTTGACACCACTGCTAAGCTGGCTGTATTACAGCCATGACTAAGCCTAAAAGTCTGTCTCACATTTAAAACCTCAACTGTCATTTCCTTAAGCTAAGATTCAATTGACAAATTGTCTTTAAACACACATACTTGCCGTACTTGACAGTCAGGTATCTACTTCCTGAAGAACCCAAGAGACCTCCTATACCAAAGATGGACACAGCGATAGACCATAGGAACAAGAGGTTATCCTGATGGATGGGGTAGCCGTATCGCTTCAGCCAGGTTTCATTAATGAAAGCCTTAACATGCTGAGACAGAAAAAACAATTTTCATTAACAATAACCGTGATTCCAGTGCATGCATTTTATTATATTTAGAACATAATTTTGTTGCTTCAGCTAAGGTCACTATTTCATATAGACTCTAAAAGTGTGCATTAGCTAACAGACACAGTGTAACAGAGTATGGTGTGTTCATTTTGCCATTAAAAGGAGTTCATTCCTTGTTTTTTTGTCTTTGAAATCTGAGAAACTGCTTGATGGACCTGTAGTGAAGAATAGTGTCAAATGAGACCACTGAAGTAGGCACATGTGCTGTAGGTTTATAGGGAAGACAGATGCCACCCCAGTTAGTGTGTGTCTTCTGAGGAACAGTCTATAAACAACAGCTTGCAGGTCTCTCTTTTCTTCTATTTTCAACACTTTGGCATGTTCTGCTTTACATGATAGCATAGTAATGGGAAAGAATCATGAGAGGAGAATACTGTGATTAAACCCTTGCTGACTGCTGGAAAGGAGCATCCTCAACAGGAATGTAGACTCAGTGCCACCATTAATGAGTGTGCCACGTGCATCTTTGCCTACCTGAGATGTGTAGGTGATGGTAGAAACTTGAAAGCCAATTTGGAATGTTCCACCGATCCCCAGGACAGGGATCATTTGAAAGAGCCCCCGATACTGTACCTGCAGAGTTAGAACAAAATCTTCTTAAGCTTGTAGCCACATCAGGCTGGTCTTGGAATGTGTCTTTCATTCTCCAGAAATGTCTCATTTGTTCAAGGGATTTGCAGATAGGCATGTTCCCTCTGCTTGCCCTGGTGTGAGGTGTACATCTTCTTGTGATTTCCCTACATCCAACCCAAGGAAATGAAGCCTTTATCTATGGAAACCAGAACATTTCCCTACCCTTCTTGATAATTAGTCAACAGAGTAGAAAGCTGGAGGTCATTCCACACTAATACATGTGAGAGTGGTTTTGAGGAGGGAGGTCTTACTTTCCTTTCTGCTATCTGGACAGTGGCCAGGCTATCTGCAGCTCAGACCTGTGCCCACAGTAGTGACCAGGCCTTCTGTACCCAGACCTTTCCTATCTTATCTGAGAGAGCAGCTGCTGTGCTAGCTACTCTTCAGGCCCTTGAATAGTGGCCAGTGATGCCTCAACTCAAGTTTTGTGGCAAAGCCTCCTGAAATTGCCCACAGTGGCTAAAAATTAAAAAAAAAAAAAAAAGAAGTTTGAAATCAGCAAAAAAAGAGACTGATGTTGCTTGTAGCATGTTTTTCCACTCAGGTTTCTGTCAGTGTAGCAGCCCATGGTTTTTTACCTAGATGGAGAGGTGGGAACAGCAAGGAAAAGTCTTGGGACAGAATGTTCCTTGTGCACTGGCTCTGCTCAAACTGTGCTGTAGGAGGAAAATGTCTTTTCTAGCTCTTATTACCATCATCAGTTCTCAACTCTTGCCCTTCCTGCCTGCCTCAAGCAGCATGCTCATCTTAATGTCTTGGGAGCTTTGAGAACAGGCATCCCACTTTGATTTTTTCCTAGTCAGTTACAGATCCAAAAATACACAACCAGCATGGTACTTAGGTTTACACTACTGCAGCCTTTGCCGCAGGACATAGTGAATATGCCATGAATGAATGAAAAAATGCCAGCCCTTCAGAGGTGCCCTGACATATTCCTCTTTCCTGGACGAGCGGTTAAGTGTGCTCGGCAGGAGCTGGGAGCTCTTTCTCCACGAGATATTATCCTAATTGGAGGTGCCTCACTGATGTGTGAGGGTTCAAGACTTAGCCATAGCCAGGATGTAAATGCTGCAGGCTCCCACAAACATCCCTGTCAAGATGCCACAGCTGCCGACATCCAGTCCTGTTCCCTGCCTTTCAAAACCTCTGCCTACCATCTCTTGCACTAAATAATTAGTGATATATTTAACAAAACTCTTTTTTCAGCAGTCAAGCAAAGCAAATTATGTTTGAGGGTAAGTAAATATTTTCCAGTAAATCAAAACATTTAAGAAACATTAACGTATTGATAAAAACATGACAAAGATGGATGGCAGAGCATATGAAGTGCGAACATCTATAGTATCTCAAAACTGTGGGCAGAACCACTTCTGAGATACTTTTCATGAATAGAAGCCTTGTTGTTTTTACTGACATAGATACTGATTTTTTTTCTTTGAAACACTAGTAGCATACAAAAATGTCACAGATGTAAATACCCCACCAAGTACTTACCAGGTCTGATAGGAAGCCAGTCATCTCTGTCTAGGGGCTGGTTGTCCAGTGTGTGATGTGTCTTCGTCATCACAGGCTTCTGTGTCTCTGTCTCCTGCCTGCTGGTGTGGCAGTGGGCATTTGGCTTCAGGGACCAGAGTTAAATTTTTACTATTATTTCCTCTTCACTCACTTATATTTACTTCAACTGGCCAAAGTTAACACTGCTGGATTAAATATTTCAAGAAATAATTACACCTAGTCCAGCCCACAGGGGGAAAGTTTCAAAGGAAAGGAAGTTTGCACCCTGGGGGGCAGTAAGGGCTTTGGAAAAGGAAAGGAGAACAGTTCAGGCAAAAAAATCTAAACAGTTTTCCAGGAACAGCAAAATACTTTACTTCTATGATACAGACCAATGAGTACATCTGCCATAATCTGCACAAAGCAAAAAGCAGCTGGTACAAGGTTTAGGTACTGTTATTTATTATTAAGTAAAGTATGTGGTGTTCTCTTTCAGATTCATTGGTATAGTAAATATAATTTATTAGATGAAAAATAGGCAAATTTCAAAGCCTAATTCTGCTGTTCTTGCTTTATGCACCAGTTAGACTATACTGAGGAAGGGTATTTCTTGTCTGGTGTTTATGGGGATGTTTGTCAGCCAGGTGTGGTGAAAAGGCAGTAAGAGATATTGTGCCCTGGCAGAGGCTTCTGGAATAGAGCATCTGGTCCTGAAGGCACTTAAACCAGCCAGTAACTAAGACCCACTTATGAGAGTAGTCAAAGAAGGTAAATATTCCCTCATGAGTTAGGATGGGACAACCGGGATCTTAATGCCTCAGGTTTCAGCTTTGACACAGAACAACTCCAAAATCAGTGTTGCAGCCATTGAAAAATCACCTTTGCTTCCCAGAGGCTCCTGTCTTGTGAGGTGAAGCTCAAACTGGAGCTCTACATGGCTTCTGCTAGAGAGAGCACTTGGAAAAAAAAGGGTTGCCTGGGACTTTTGTGTGTGGTTGATGCTCTGTGCTGTTCCTGCTTTCTCTTTCAAGTGTTCTGCTTGCTCTTACTCATGCCAGGGGACTTTACCCCACCCCCAAGGCTTGGGGTGGGGGCAGATGGGGAAACGGAGTTGTACTGAAGCCCTCAGTAAATGCCCAAGATCACCCTCAGGACTTGTACTTTCAGTTCATAAAACACAGAATGCAATTATTTACAGAAGGGTTTACTGCAAATACTGTGAGTCTAAAGAAATGAGAAAAAAAATACATGTTAATAATAAAACCTTGGTTACTTGTGTAATTCCAACTATTGCCTATACAACTGCATAGCAAATGCTGTTTATTCTGGCTTGCAGTAGCATTTAGAATGATTCGGCATTTTTGTAAGTATTTTCTCTTGAACACGAACAATTGTAATATTTTGGTTGTACAAAAATGCAAGTTGCATATCTATTGACTATTTATGGTTTCAAAATGTTAATGATTCCTTTTTATTACATAATTTTTCTTAAATTGTATCAAAAGGGGGGGGGGTATGTCATAAGGATTGCTACACACCTTGAAAATAATTACTGAGAAGCTCAAAGAGCAGCAAATACCACCAGCTCACAGTGAAATTTCTCCTACATTTGGGGGGATTTCTAGTGATTCTGACCTGCACATGACTGTATAGCATGGTACTATTTCAACTATCAGCAATTTTAGGAGGATTTTATCCTAGAAGTTTACCTCTTGTGTTTTGTCAAGTCAATGGAATTGACCATTTCTGTTAAAAATTTCACCTATATTCTAGAAAAAGCTCTGTTACACTATGAAAGTTGTGCATGGTTTCATGTTTAAGGAATTATTGCAGTTAAGGAGATATTTTAATTTGTTCTATATAGAGGTGTAAGAAATGCTTGCTGTGAAATGGACAAACACATGAAACTCACTTTTATGAGGCGTGTCATAAATTTGTCTAAAGAGCTCAAAGCTGGGCTTGGTTCTAAGCCAGCTTGATCTGCACTATATTGCACATTGTGGATGACTGAAGCCATCTGCAGTTTAATTTCACACTGAGAGGAACTCAGTAGTTTCTTCTAGGTTTGATTTGAGACTTTAGTTTGTTATAACCCCAAACTCCAAATTAAATTCTGAATAACAAAATCACAGAGACTGGAACTAAGGAAAGCATTTAGACACAAAACATTTCCTAAGTGAAATCTATAAGATTAGCATAGCACATATTTTGTGTTATGATGACTAATTGATTATTGACTGCTCCCAGGTTTTTAAGGTGATACGAGAGTGACTTTAATTCATGAAGACTCCACTTGGGCCTGTGAAGGAATATTCATATATTTTCCAATAATGGAAAACAAATAATTTACCTCTGTTTTGTTTTGCAGTCTGCAAGCATCAAGGTCCTTTATGACCTTACTTAATACATGGTCCTTCTGCTGACCAGCTAGAAGCTAGTGTAGGTGATATGTTCCTCAAGAGAAGTATTTCCTGTAAAGGAATGAGGTCTCTTCCTAAAAAGTAAAGCACCAAATTCTTCAGTTATTTCCATAACCAAGTTCCCCTTTGTCTCTGGAAGGAAGAGGTAGATGAAGATGCCTGAGGTGATGGGGATCCCGGTAAAGATAAGGAAGCACAAAGAAAGGTTTTCCTGGAAATAAACCAGAGAAAGATTTTTTTTTTTTTTTTTTTTGCTTGTCCTTTTACAGCACTTTGAACATGATGACAAAATGATGACAATGATGACAAAGTTTCACTTTGTAGCTGTCTACATCCATTTTGTTTAGTCGCTGTGACATGAAACACGCCAGTCTCTAAGTGTGAAATAGCAATGGGAATAAAATAGTTTAAAATTTTTTCTTACCTGAAGGGAGAGAGTAACTGTGAGGACAGACAGTGCCAAGGCCATGAAAGCATAGCCCTTGCACAGCAGTGTGTTCCTGCCAAACTGCTCAATGGTAAAGGTCTGGAAGGGCAGGAAAAGCACTCACTTCACTGTAAGCACAGCTAAAGCCTGAGTAACACATCGATACAGTGTGCCTTACACACAGCAGAGTGGGAAGGAACACACAGAGACCAACCCCTAGTGATACATGTGGAATAAGGCCTTCTTCAAACCCAGCTGTGCGCAGCACCTCAGAAGTGCAGAAATAGACCTAGAAAACACAACGGAAGAAAAAAAACTTGCATTGGAAACAGTGGATTGCATGTGTGATATCACCTCTGATGTCAGGACTGGTAAGCAAGCAAAGAGGGTACATTTCCACCAGTGACCTGTCCTTTTTGCTGATTGTTGAGAAAATACTTCTTTTCAAGAATGGGTTAGGAATAGAAAGCGTCTTTTTAAAAGCTTTTCACATGCTTTTAACAGAAAGAAACTGCTATAATTTTCATTTCAGTCCTGCTCATCATCTGATTCAAGTCAGTTGTGGTCCAGAAAAAAAAGAGATACACCTATTATCATCATTTAGCGTTGGACCTACATAAGTGAAAATAGAGGTGTTAATGATACATGAATTTCCTGAAGAAGATGAGGGAATTCACATGTAGATTTTTCCTTTCTCTTTTCACTATTGCTACAGCTATTCTAGCCCCACTATTTCCAGGCAGGCTGAAGAAAAGAGACAAAAATATGGGATGAGAAGGCTCTAGCAGGCAGTAGCTTGAAGACGCTGTGGTCTGGCTTCTAGACAGTTTTATTAGCTTTCCTGACAACCACAGCAACAGCTACCAAAGCCATAATATTTACAGAACATAAACTTCTTTGAACAGATGCGAGCATAACCCTGACACACTAATGGTGATGTCACTGCTTGTATTCAGTTCTGTTGGATGCCAGCTGCAGCCTCATAACAGTTATTTTGGCCCTGATGCATGGGCCTGTACTGAAATAAGTAAGGCTGGATGGCATCTAAATTTCCAACTTCTTCTTGAAGCTGTCAGTCACAGCAATGACACTGAAGCAGTAGTACAAAGATGAAAAAGCTAAAAGAAAAAAGCCTAGCTTACTTGTTTTATCTCTTTTGAGTAAAAGATAGGCAGGGTCAGTAGTCAAAATAATTTGAGATGTTGCTTGCAGAAGTATGAGAAAGAGAGGCCTTGGCATGGGGTTAAAGCAACACACAAACATCAATATTGGTAGGTTAATCATATACCGCTTGGTTTATCAGTAACTGCAAGATATGCAGCAATCATAAGCATTTGGGAGAACAGGCCTCTTGAGGTTTGGTACATTGGATTTTTGCAGCCTAGGAGGACGAATGCTTGAGATGGAAAGGCTCTTTAAGCCATGAAGTAGTGAAGATGCCCAGCAAGACTAGCCATGAAGGATTGACTTCTTGCGGGAGACACTGGAGCTATATCAGTGAGCATAGCTGGACTTTGTAAGAGAGCAACAGAGGGGATCCAAAGCTCATGCTTTTAAACCTGACATGGTGCTGTGTGACAGGGATGAACAGTCTCTCTGCAATGTTCCAGCTGTGCTTCTGCTGAGACTGCTTCCTGCAAAAGGACCAGCAAAGACAAAGTGATGCTGACCAAGATTACAACAGAAAATTCTCTATTCTGTATATGCAGAAAGGTTGAGACTCCTGAAAAGAAGATATGAAAGAGAGAAAGAGGAGAGTAAAATCAGAGAGAAGGAACTGACAAATGGAAGTTGCCACAGCAGAATACACTATTGATCTGGTACACTGATCCTAACATGTATTTTTCCATATATCTAGTTAGCTACTCCGTGGCTTTAATGTCTCTTCAGCACAGTTCAGAAGTACTACCACTTGCCATTGCACCACATTGTGAAATCTGTGCAAACTGGGAAAAGAACAGCATGGAAGCAGATAAATGTTATATTTGTGTTCTGTTTGGTCTCATGCTGTTCTTATTTTCAAACAAACAGGCGACTCGGGCATTAGAAATTCCCCTTTACAACATTGTTAGGGAAGCTACAAGCTGTATAGAAGCACTACGACAGAAGGAATGGAGGAAGAGAGCATGGTGGCAAAAAGAAGCATAAGATTTCATCCTGGATATAGGCAGCACCTT